AGTATAGAATAACTAAATTTCTAGAGATTAAATTTAAAGGTTGTAATAGTAAAGATGGTGGGTTGGGGATTGGGAAAAGGAAAGAAGTAAAATTTGCAGAATAAAGTGAGATAGGGAGGAAAGTGAGATCAAGATCCTATTAAGGAGCTGGGTGTGGTGGCGCACACCTGAAATCCCAGCACTCTCCAGGCTGAGGCAGGAGGATCGCTGTGAGTTTGAGACCAGCCTGGGCTACATAGTGAGTCCTAGGTCAGTCTCAACTACATAGTGAGACCCTGTCTCAAAAAACCAAAACAAACAAAAAAGATCCTATTAAGGAGTAGAGCCATGCATGGTGGCTGCAACATTTATAATCTCAGTTTTTGGGAGGCTGAGGGAGGAGGATCACCGTGAGTTTCAGACCAGTCTGGACCACATAGTGAGTTCAAGGCCAGCCTGAACTGCATATTAAGACCTTGTCTTAAAACAATATAGTAAGAACCAAAAGATCCTTTTAAGGAGTAAAATAAAAATCAATAAAATTAGATACAAGTAATAAAAGCAGCTGGGTGTTGTGGTGTGCCTGTAATCCCAGCATTTCAGAAGCTACAGGCAAGAGAATTGTCATGAGTTTGAGGCCAGCCTGGGATACAGTGAATAGTAAGTTCAAGGCCAGCACAAACTGTCTCAAAAGAAAAAAAAAAAAATTAAAAAGAAAAACCCCAAAGAACAGTGAAAAATAAAATTCCTCTGTGTTTTTGAGTGAGTGGTTTCTTTCCAGGTCTGCAGTATTGGAATCCACTAGATATGGGGGAGGGATAGTGAGTCACTGCTAAGACCTATTTTGTTTCCACACTCTGTATGTGGACTCCAAGTCCATCCTCACCTTTTCTTCTGGGTGTGGTTGGTCATTCGAGTCCACCCTGGAGACACCACCACTCCGGGACCTCCCAACTTTAGTGTCGCTCTCTGTGCACTCTACGACATCTAGTTTTATGGACTGTGATTTGTTAGGTGCTCCCTCTTTCTCCGGAGGCTCCTCTCTCTGTACACCCCAGGGTATGACTGTCCACGCTGATGTTTTTCCTTGCTCACTTTGGTAGATGGGGGAAACAAACGGACCCTGGGTTCTGTGCTCAGTCTAGGCGGTGGGACAGGGATTCAGGCAGACCACTAGACTTAATGCCAGCACTTTTAGGTCAGCCTCCTCTGAAAGCCACACACAACTGGCCTGGCATCTCGCCATAGAAGGCCGGGTCCCTGTGTGCTTCCTGGCCTGAGCTTAAACTTCTCAGGCAGTCTGTGCCTAGCCTACATCCTCTCTGTGACTGTCTGTTTTGACCATCTCCCACCCAGTCACTGTGGTAGGGTGACAGCAGAAACCCTGAAGTGTAGTTGTTATTTAGCTCAGTCTTCTTGAACCTTTCCTCATTGCCCTGGATTTCTTCTTCAACTCTAGCTTGCCATGTGGAAGGAGTCACTTTTTGTTTTTTGTTTTGTTTTTGAGACAGGGTCTCACTATGTAGTGAGACTGACCTGGAACTCACTATGTAGTCCAGGCTGGTCTCGAACTCGCAGTGATCCTCCTGCCTCAGCCTCCTGAGTGCTGGGATTACAGGTGTGTGCCACCATGTGTGGCATTGGAAGGAGTCACTTTAAGTACTGGGGCTCGAACTCAGGTCCTTGTGCTTGCGAGGCAGGCGCTGAAAAAAGCTAAATCCCCAGCCTGAAGGAGTCACTTTTAAGTAAAACCCGACATTGCTTTTGCAGTTGACAGTAGCCATGGGCTTTTCTTGAGACTAATGCTGCCAACCCCGCCTTTGTTTTATTCTCTCTGGAGCTTCTCACCCTCTCAGGACTTACCTTATGTTAGCAGACACAGGTCTCCTGGGGGCCAAGATATGGTTTCTGAATTCCTTTGTTCATTTCTCTGCTTTTCTCCAGCTTCTCTGTAGTTTCTAGTTTTTTGTCAGCTCCCTCCTGATTCCTGGAGATCTTTTTTTTTTTCTTTCTTTTTCTTCCAGGTCTCAGACAGGCTGTATTTTGCTGCCAGTCTAGTTGGCCAATTTCTGTCTTTACTTATTTTGAAAACTCAGTTGTTTCACTATTTGTATTCATTCCTTGGAGAAAATGAGAGGGTGCTTTATATCTAAAGTATATGTATAGTTCAATAAATACTGTTTGGATCAGAAGTGACTTGGTTATAGGGAACAGAACTCATTTAAATTTAGTTCAAGAAAAGATTTGACACATGGTTAAGAATCTAAATCAAGGAAAAACTAATAGAAAGCAAAAGGGCGTGAAGATGTTGTTTATTCATGGATTTTATTCATAACATATTCTAGTATTAACTTAGTGAAAACTGTTCAAGTGTGTCCTACTTAGTTCCACTTTGTGGCCAATTGGTTGTGGCTAGATGGGACCACATGTAAAGCTCTGTCCAAATGAAGCATTTGTAGAGCTGAGGAGGCAGTGAAGATCATCTTCGGTAAAGGAAGATGGTTTGAATCACAACCCTGTTTATCACACTGTAGAACATAAGTTGTTGAATTGTACTGTTTCTTCCAGATGAACAGTATCCCAACTGACAAGATGCTTTCAGTCCACCTTGGCATTAGAACTGCCGGGGTGGGGGGGACATCTGCTGAGTGAAGAAGTTGACTTTTTTATATTCTTGTGTTCTGAGGAAATTCATATTCCTTCAGCAGTACTTTGCTGTTCATGGTAGAAAATGTTTGTGGCATTTTGCATGGGTAAAGTAGGATCCCCCCCTTTGTGGTACCTGAGATTGAACTGAGGACCTTTGCACTGAGCTAGATGTATGTGTCTGCCTGCCTGCCTGCCTGCCTGCCTATCTTAATTATTTGGATGGAATTGAGACAAGAGTGTTGCTGTGTAGTTCATGATGGTCTTGAACTCACTATATAGGCCAGGCTGCTCTCGAATTCATGGTGATCTTCCTGCCTCAGCCTCTCAAGTGCTGGGATTACAAGCATATACCAGCACACTTGGCCAGTTATTTAAGTATTTATTTGCAGTACTGGGGATCAAACTCAGGACCTTGCACTTGTGAGGCAGGTGCAGTGCCACTAAGCTAAATCTGGCCCTTTTTTTTGAGACAGTGTCTTAATGTGTAGTTCAGGCTGGCCTTGTACTTACAGTGATCCTCTTGCTTCAGCCTCCCAAGTGCTGGGATTACAGGTATGTGCCTCTGTGCCCAGCCTCTGGCTAGTTTTTTTGAAACAGGGTTGTCTTAGATTGATAAAGTTCCAGGCTGGGCTTAAACTTGCAGTCTTCCTGTCTTGCCCCCCAAGAGAGCTTGGAGCTTTAGTATTGTATGTGTAAATAGCCATTCTCTAGGGCAGTGATGGGGAACCTTTTAGAGCTTTCAGTGATAAGGGACAGCTCCCTGTGGCATGTGTGCCCTAGGCCAGCTGCTCTAGGGCATGCTGGCTGTCTATACTTGGCATGGAGATGAGATAGATATTTACAGATCTTTATATTTTAAATGTGTGCATGCATATTTTTAAATGACATTTTTTTTCACAGGTTTTTTTTTTCTTTCCACTAAGGGGGAGGTGGCAGGGGTGGAGTTGGGGGACTTAGTAACTGTTCATACTTTCAGTAAACCCAAACAGACAATTAGAGGAAGAGGGGCATTGGGAGTGAAGAGAAAGCAGTGATTGAGCTGCTGTGTTCAAGGTTTTGTTTCATGGTACTGGGGATTGAACCCAGAGCTTTCACAATGAGCTACATTTCAAGTTTTTTTTTTTTTTTTTTTAATTTTGAGGCAGGGGTCTTACTGAATCACTAAGTTGCCTGGGTTGTACTCAACTTGTAGTTTTCCTGCCTTAGCCTCCCAGAGTGCTGGGATTACAGGTGTACTGTCATGGCTAGCTCAAAGTATTTTTTAAAACTTTCTGCTATAAAGAGACTGTTATATTTGTAACTGCTATCTAGAATGGGTGTAGCCATCTATACTCATTCACCAAATATTTATTGACAACTACATCCCATGTTCGGTCAAACCATATATAAGTAAGGGCTGTGGCTTACTTTTGAGAAATGCTTATTTGAGTAGGGAAAGAGAGTGTCAATAAAAGTAGCAAAATAGCCCTGAATATGGTGTTACATGCCTGTAATCCAGCACTTGGGAGGCTGAAGCAAGAGGATAGGCAGGAGGATTGCTGTGAGTGAAAGGCCAGCCCAGGCTACTACTGAGTTCCTGGCCAGTCTTGCACTACAAAGCAAGACCCTGCCTCACCCGCTTCTTTCGAAGCAAAATAGTTGAAGAGAAATGTTTTGAGAGGTTCCATGCCTCCTCCATTACTGGGGGTTGAATCAGGACCTCTTGAATACAAGGCAAGGGCCATACTACTGAGCTACATACTTAGCCGGTTATATTTTATATTTCATTTTGAAATGGAGACTTGGAGCAAGTTGCCCAGCCTTGCCCTGATCTTGTATAATCTTTATACGTCAGTCTTCAAGTCGCTGGGGTTACAGGCTTGTGCACTGTGCCTGGATAAGAGGTTTTACACTTGATCTTAGCCAAAAGGCCGAGAAGCGATTGGATAAGAGGTTTTAAAAAATAAACTCTAGTAAATTTTTTATAACAGGATAGAATTTAACCTACATAATTTATTCTTGGGCCGGGAATTTAGCTCAGTGGCACCGTGCCTGCCTCGCACTCGCAAGGTTGTGAGTTTGATCCCTGGTACCAAAAAAAACAAAACAAAGTTAAATCTTTTGCCTCCTGAAGGTGACTTTCTAACCATTTTCGAAAGCCACTTAGATATGCCTGAGCATTCCTTTTATTTTAAAGCGAAATATGTAAAAAATACAGCCAAAGAATTATTTAATAAATACTGGTGTTGATACCAATTGAGAAGAGTAATCACAAAAAAGCATTTGACACAGGGGAACTTTTTCTGCAGTTGTTGATTGCATAGGAACAGAGGAGTTTACCCCCCTCTCCAGGTGATCTCCCTTAGTTTAATCTGCTTTCTTTAATTTTGAAGGAGATGGACGAACACATGCGGAGCATGTTGCATCACAGGGAACTTGAGAACCTGAAGGGCAGGTATGGGAACAGCTGTCTTCCATAACTTTGTGAATGGGGGGTTGCAAGCTGATTGTCCTTGTCAGTTTGTTTTATAGTAATACATTGTGATGAATGTTGTTTTATGGTGTGCAGCAGTTGTTTAAAACTAATCACGATGCTGTAGATTTTTGGTGTTCAGAAATAAATACTGATACCTTTGTGCATTTCAAATGTGTCGAATTCACAGCAAGTCTGGGAAGTCGATTATAATAAAAGTGAGTTGGGATAACCTAATTTCCTCCTTAGTAAGCTGTCTCATTGCTACACAATAGCCTTACAAGTAGGATAGCTCATTTTTTGCTTTAAAAGTATTAAAAATGATTGCATACCATAAACTATATGTTGCTGGGATATTCTGAAAAGTCCAAAGCCTGCTGTAAATTGCACTGACTCTGATTAGTGTAAACAAGATCCAATTACAGACCTTAAGTATACTTGTGGATGCTCTTTTTTTTTTTTTTTTTGGTTTGGATTGAACT